CCTGTCTTCCTCGGCCGCCCTCTTGGCCTACCACTGCCTGTTGGTGGCTTGGGCTTTGTGGGTGCCACTAATTCATACGGGTCCTTAGGTGGGCGGCTTCTAGTCCCAGCCGATGGCGAAACTGGTCCAGAGATGCCTAATGGGTCCTTCGGTTTGGGAGGCCTGCCACGGCCACGCCTAGGCGGTGCGTTCGGGTCGGGTTTAGTGTAGTTGTTCTTCCAAAACACTAGTTCTCCAGTCTCTTTCATTCGGCTGAGGTGGTGAGTGAGGAGAGCTGCGTGTCCTGCAGGTAAGTCTCCGTACTTGGATTCGATGTATCTGGAAATCGAAGTCTTGTTCGATCCATTTGGCTCGTTTAATGCTTCAATAGCTTGCAAGATCAGCTTGATTTAAAACAACAGACACGACAAAACAAGGATTGATCGATCAGTTCATCCACAGACAAGGACCAATGTCACATCAATGAATAGATCACTCAACCACAAAAAAAAAAAGGATCCTTTATGAGAGATTGAAAAGAAACATCCTCAAGAACGGTTCCAGGTTGCGCACTACAGTGACTTGGAAGAATTAAAATAACTTCCGCGACAACAGAAAGTCTCGAGATTGAGTTTCCTAGGTTGACTTTTCTTTTGTCTCCACGCTCTTGACTTTGGGTTTGATCTGAATCCACGAGGCTTAATTACTCGCTACGCGGTTTCCGCAAATCAAATCAAAATCCATATCTTGTCCGAAATAGAAAGTATCCGTCCTGTTTTATTCCCACTCGTCAGGTGGAAAAAGAGTATTTGTAATTCCAGAAATCATCATAATCTGAATTATTCTGTTCTTCTTTTCCCTCAGAAGAACAAATACGCACAAACATTTCACCTTCCATACGGATGATTTCCCAGAAAGCCTAGGAACAGAGCCAGGAAAATTCAAAATTTTCTTTCAGCTAAAACACTTGTTTTACCCGGGAAAGGAGCTAGGGTTTTCTTCAGAACCCAAGGATCATAACCCTTTTTTTGGGGGGGAAAAAATAACAGATCATGAATCGGGAACCTTCTGGCTTCCGAAACGAAAATTACGCAAACCCTAACCGGGGAGATTTTCCGGAGGAAGAGAAGAGAAAATTCAGATCAAGCTGGAGCAAATTCCGCGCATGCAAATCAACATACCAAGCTAACGAGAAAAAATCTCATACCTCTGGGTATGGAGGAAGTGGAGGTCTACTGATCTCGCCAGTAGCCATTAATTCCAGGGAAGAAAGAGAGAGAGAGAGAGAGAGTCCCCACCAGACAAACAAACCAGAAGCACTGTTGAAATCAGATGGGCAAGGAAATTGAAGGAAACTCTTTCGGGGTATTTCTTTTCTTTTCTTTTTTTTTTTCTTTTTTTTAGGTTCTTTTTCTTTTCCCATTCTACAAATCTTTTAGGGTAAATTGCAAGCATACCCCTAAATTTTGTATTACTTTTTAGATTTCATCCTCATAAACATTCTGATATTTCAGCACCCTAATTTCCTTTACTTTTGATCCCCATGCTCAGAAAATGAGATATTACAAAAATCCCATACATAAAAATGCATTTTTTCCCTTCAAATTATAAAAAAAAAATCTGTAACCATCTCTCTTTGCTAATTGAAAACACCCCCAAATAACAAGAAAAGCAAAAATCACATGAACATAGAAGAGAGAAGGATCACCCCATCCATCCATCTGAACTCTTGGCTCTTCTATATATATATATATATATATATCCCAATAGACCTTGTCTGATTCTGAAAAGAGTTTATGATTCTTGCAAATGTCACTCCTCCGGGCAGCTTTCCACTCCTAGTTTTTTCTATGTCCCGTTGAGCTCAATGTTTCGAAGATCATTGAGATGCTGCAAGATTTCTTGGAGAAGATCCATTCCCTTGTCATCTTTCTTGACTGAACTCACACAATTTTTCAGGAACTCTCCATCAGTTTCAAGGGCTTGTAATCTCTCGTATACGTTATCGACTTGTTTGATAATCTCTAGTTTCTCGTTGTCCAAGCTATCATCCCTTTCAATGGATTCTGGTTCTTCCTGAAACCCGTCTTCAGTTTCGTTCTCCGCTGCATCGAGAAGAGGTAGGAGGCTCTTCGCCATCGATGCCATTGTTAGTCTCTCTGAAAACCCATTTGAGGTCTCGTTTGCTTCGCAGCTATTGCTGATTTCTCCCGGAAATTTCGAAGTATCTGCAGATTCATCCTCTTGCATTGTCAAAAGCTTTTCCTCCAACACCTTCAGTTGATCCAGAATTGTTAACCTCTCTTCCTCAAACTCAGACAGAGATTCATCAAGCATGCTCATATGTTTCACGCAATCCATCGTTATCTTCTCCAAATCCATATCCGTCTCAGAAGAATCATCTTGCTCGCCATCATCCTCGTTTTTGTCATCTACATCATCATGGGCAGATCCCTCACCATCAGCATTTTCACTCACAGTTTTGTTTTTCTCTCTCGCTTCATATTCCAAGACCTTCTTCCTGTAAACCTCGAGTTCTTCGTGGAGTTCCTCCTTCTCTTTCTCACGTTTCACCATCAAATCATTCAACAGCTGCAAGGCTTCTTGATCATACTCAGCTTGCTCCTCCATCATTCTCTGGTACTGCAATGCCTCCATATGCACCTTTGCTTTCTCCTCCTGAAGCCTTGTTATCATCGCCATTGTCTGGTTGGCCGCTATAGCAGAAGCACTTCTTTCTTCCTCGAGTTCTGCATACAACACACGAAGAGCCTCTCGTTCTACCTTCACAGCATTTCTCAGCCTTTCTATTGTCTGAAACGGATCCTCACTATCCAATTCACTCTCATCTACCGATTCTTCAGCTGAAGGCTCTCGTTTTCTATCAAGTAGAAGAATTTTCTTGTGCAGGGACTTAAGGGTATCACCTGATGTTGGAGTCTCTGGAAGAAGCTTCTCCTCCATTCTCTCCTCTGTCCTTTCATCACCTTCTTCTTCTTGATCATCATCAGTATCTTTTTCTTCTTCATTTTCCCTATCTACGCAAAAACACACTCGCCTCAGGCTTGAATACCTCCCAGATCCAGACAACAAATGAAACATTTCTGCATACGACTACCAAAATCACTCTGCATTATACCTGTTAGAAGAGGATCCAAAGATTCATCTTCTGGTTTAGAAATGAGTTTCTTGGTCCCAGACTGGTCATCCAACAAATCTGCTCCCTCTGTTTCTTCTTCGTGTCCTGCGTTTCGATCACAAACTGAAGGTTCCCTGTAAAACCCCAGCAAATAGAGAGACAAGTTTTGGCAATCTGTTTCTATTCTACCTGGATTTTGATTCGACCCATCTGTATCCATTGGAACATTTCCTGCGTTATCCTTCAGCTCGGCTTCTGGAGCATGGTTCTCTTCACTCGATCTGATGACTTTTTGGTTGGTGATTGTAGATGAATCGATCAGCTCAACTGGGATCAAACGGTCAGGACCACATGCAAGAATCTCGTGATCAGACAGATCTATGATCTTAAGCGAATAATCATCCTTGCCCAAAAGAAGCTGCCCAGAGGAGTGTTGGATCTCTGAGATTTCATCTTCGTTGCCCGGAAAGTTTGTGCTTATAGATCTCAAACCATCCTCCTCGGACATTTCTCTAAGGCTTAAACCATAGCTCCCGACATCAGAAATCACTTCACCGTTGTTCTGATCGTGCCCCTTGCCGTCTAAGCGACCTGATTCTCTCTCTTTCTCGAACTCATCTCCGATTTTGTCATCATCGATCATCTCCAAGATCAAACCTCCATTTTCTTTGTATCCAAGAGAATTCCCCCAAGATGATGACTTGATAAGCAAGTAATTAGGGTAGGTTTTCTCTTCCAAGCTCCTCTGGCAACAAGGGCACAGTGCACAACCGATACTTCTCTGCGAAGTTTTGTCTTTGTCTCGATCCGAGCAATCTGGGCACATTTTCATGGACTGGGCAAGTTTCCGGTGGGTTTTGCAAAAACTCAAATCGGAGAGCCCTGCAGCGTGATTTTCACATATAAGCTCTTTGCAAGTGAATCCTGGTTCTGGGTTCCGCTCGAAGAGTCGATCAAGCCTTGCGCAGAAGAGACATAGTTGCTTGAGGCCGAAGTAAGAGGCGAAATTCACGAGAAGGTGAGTAGAAAGGGAGTGGAGGAAGAGGAAGAAGATGAGAAGCCATTCGAGGAAGGCGTAGACTAAGATCACTGTGATTTTGTTTGTATTTCTGCTTAGCATCGTCGCGAAATTGTTCGCTGCCATGGACTTTTGCTTCTGTATTCTTCTGCTGAACACCTGAGGACGCAGAGAGAGAGAGAGAGAGGAAGACGACGAACAATGATGTCTGGTGAATGGTGTGATAAGAACAAACAGACTTCACTTCAGCAATGGAATTGTCTTTTGCAATTTGGTTAAGCTAAGCCTGAACCGGAATCCTCGGTTTATGGTTAACCGAAGAATGTAATTGAGATGTTCATAATAACCATATTACTTTTTATATATGTGTGGATGTTGTAAATATTATTATTATTATTATTTTACCTGTCTTTGGATGTATAAAGTTTGGTGGTCCATTATAGTTCTGCTTATGGGTCGGTCCCCCAATTACCATAGTAAAGCTCACCGACAGCTTTAGAAAAAAAAAAATCTTATATTTGAATGGAACATTATATTATATACATAATTATTTTCTAACCATTTATCTAAAACACAAAATCAGATCAGCAATGGCCATTTTGATTATAAGGAAAAGTACATGAGATTAGCAATAATTTATAAGCTTATCTAAATTAAGTTCGATAATCAAAGTTAGGATATACACAAATATATAAACAGAATTTATTAAACGTTTAATGAAAACTAAAAAATCGAAACAGAGTCAAATCAGTGAAAGTGTTTTCCAATTGCAAATACATAATTTGAAATAAAGAATTTTAGATTGTGTGATATAATATCGGAAATAAAATAAAAAGATGGGAAGAGTGGAAAAAAGCTAAGGGGGTGATGATGAGAAGCTGTCAAAGTTGCACTCATGTCTTTTCTCTCTCTCTTTTTCTTTTTTTCTTTTTTTTTTTGCAGCTCTAAACTCTTTTTTTCCTCGACCGTTTGATTTTTTTTTAACTATTATTGGTTAAATGCGTGGATTTTTATAATACTGAAGGTTAAAATATTTAAATACAATGAAAGACCACTATCAAGACTACGATCCAACAGATCGTGGGCGATTGGTCAAATTTGGGGTAGGAGATAACTCCATCTTGAGGCTGAGTGTTCGATTCGTGACCGGTGGAGAGAAAGGTAATTTCTGGGTTTATATGATCTATATACAAAGGCTGCTCACGAATCAGACGTTTACCTAGTCAGCGCGTCCGAAATATAGCATATAGGATGTTAGAAATCTGGAGGAAATCAACGGAAAAATGAGAATGAAATCGAACCGAGGGACCGGATATCTCTTCAAGGCGTGTAGACACTTTCCTAAAACCGTTATTCCGTCCGTTATGAGCAAGGACTACCGGAATACGATTCTGAGATACAATGAAGAGAAATACGTTCTAGAATTGCTCGTTCAAGAACGCACAGACAAGGAAACGTGAAGAAGAAGATGAACGAAAGCTTTCGGGAGAGTTTTTGCAAGAAACTTCCGAAAGTGCTCTCAAAATCTCTCAAAAATGGAATCAATCTCATACCCAACTTATTCTGACATCTTTAGTATATAAACACCAAAGATCATCACCAAAAGTTGCAAAATCTGCAGTTATTACGCGAAGAATCGCATCAGTTCGTATATAACTGTCATGTTCCGAGTTACACTTGACACAACATGAAGTACTTCTCACAGACTTTTGACTCAGATCGAGTTCCACCTGACACGGGCCGTGTCAAATTTCTGTGCAACACGAATTTTTCCTCAGACAATCAACACGGTCCGAGTTAAATCTAACACGGACAGAGTTACATTTCTATAAAGAAAATTTCGTTTTCGTCATGAAGACTGAGTTCTACTTCACCCGAGTTGAGGTATACCTCACTCACAAACCGAATAACTTTACTGCCAAACACATATGTGTTTCACCGATCCATATTATATCATTTACGAATATTTAACTCCTCCACCATATCCGTAATACATATAACTATGAATCTCTTGAGAGATTAATATTAAACCCCATTCATTTACTCTAAAAATTACAACAATCCTCCACTATGTTTAGAGTAAAATATGCAATGGATAATCAAGCAATTAATCATTCATCTTCACAATTCTGCGCATAAATGAAAGTGTCTTTACGATTGAACTTCCACTTAGTGTAATATACAACAATAGACTCGAATTCCGTAGGTGTCGCTAACGATTGAACCTACGTAATCCTAGTTGAGCTACCATGTATACACACACACAGAATCAATACATTTCCCTGTATATCTTGACACTATATTGGCCATGTGTCCATATCCCCTTCACAAGCACATAGATGTCGAGCCACCAACATCTTGAAGCGGCCACACTTCATACTCGCATAGGTGAATTCTTTCAAATCGTGCTCTGCAACAAAGCACTTTGTCAAAGAATTCATTAAGTATAAAACAACCTCTTTACGTTGCAAACCAAGATGCTTACCTCGGGATGATTTACTTCTAAGCATCCACAACCACATATTAGAGGATTTAACTCATTGAACTCAAGATCTAACGTTGTATTAGACGTTGAGTTGAGATTCCTCTAATTGTGATTTAATCAATAGGCTCAAGACTCATCCCTATAGTCATTTTGTGCAACATGTCCCTCGTCAAACTTTTGGTTAAAGCATCAGCCAAGTTTTGCTTTGTCCGCACAAAATCCACCACTATGGCCCTGTCTTTTATAAGACCATTCACATAGCTATGTCGTAAACCAATATGTCTAGACTTTCCGTTATATACATGGCTATATGCCTTAGCCAACGTCGCTGCGATATCACAATGTATTGTGATAGGCGATACCGGTTTAGGCCATAATGGTATCTCGAATATCAGATTCCTTAGCCATTCTACTTCTTTTCCCACAGAAGCTAAGGCAATGAATTCTGACGCCATCGTCGAATCCGAAATGCAAGTTTGTTTCTTGGAGGCTCAAGAACTCGCAGCTCCACCTAGTAGGTACAGCCAACCACTCACCGAGGCATGATCCTCTTCACTAGAGTTCCAACTCGCATCCGTATATCCTTCTAACACCGAAGGTTGACCCGTGTAGCGAAGACCGTAATTTATGGTCTGTTTCAAGTATCGAAATACTCTTCGTACAGCATGCCAATGATGTACTCTTGGGTTACTAGTGTACCTACTCAACTTACCAACCGCGTATGCTATGTCGGGTCTAGTGCTAGTCATAGCATACATTAAGCATCCAATGACACTAGCATATTCAAGTTGAGACACTGGTTCTCCTTTGTTTGCTACTAATTTAGCATTACAATCCATCGGTGTAGTAACCGGAGTACTATCGTAGAGATCAAAACGTTTTAACACTTTCTCAATGTAGTGTGATTGAGAGAGTGAAATCGTACCGTGATCTCTCATTATCCTAATTCCAAGGATAACATCCGCTTCTCCTAGATCTTTCATCGAAAACTTCGATGACAAGAAATCTTTTGTTTTCTTTACTTGCTCTAATTCCGTATCGAATATGAGCATGTCATCCACGTATAAGCAAATAATAACCCCATGACCATTCTCGTCAAACTTGCTATATACGCATTTGTCTGATTGATTCAGACGAAACCCGTTAGCCAATATCACCTCATCAAACTTTTGATGCCATTGTTTGGGTGCTTGCTTTAACCCGTACAACGATTTGACTAACTTGCACACTTTGTGTGCTTGACCCGATAAGACGAAACCTTCTGGTTGCTTCATATACACCTCCTCTTCAAGATCACCATTTAGGAATGTCGTCTTGACATCCATTTGGTGAATTACAAGATTTTTTATCGAAGCAAGAAGAGCGATCAATAATCTTATCGTAGCTATTCTAGCTACCGGTGCATATGTATCGAAATAATCGATACCTTGTTTTTGTCTGAAGCCCTGAGCTACTAGACGAGCCTTGAACTTATCAATAGTTCCATCGACTCTCATCTTCTTCTTGAAGATCCACTTGCAACTAATCGGTTTACAACCTGGAGGAGGATCTACTAAGACCCAAGTGGTGTTGCTCATGATGGAGTCCATCTCATCATGTATTGCTTCTTTCCAAAAAGCTACATCCTGCGATTTCATGGCCTCATCATACGTCCTAGGATCATAGTATTCCCCTCCCCTATCAATCCTAAGCTTCCTAAGCTTAACCCCGAGTTGTAATTAAACCTCGGATTTATACGCTCTAAATCTATCTAGAGCTTCATCCTTCGAATGCAACAAGAACACATAGCAAAACGAGTAGAATCTTATGAACGTTACTACGTATTTCTTATTTCCTAAAGACGGTGTATTATGCAAGTCACATAGATCACTATGTACTAGTTCTAACATTTCTGAACTTCGTTCTATGCTAGAAAAAGAATGACGAGTTATTTTTGTTTTCATGCATGTAATACATTTTCCATCATTCAACGTGCATGGTGGAATTAAATCCATTTTCGACATAAAGTTAACATGTTTGTAATGAACATGCCATAGTCTAGCATGCCACAACATAGACACATCGAAATCATCAACAACAAACGAAGAAGAGATTCGTCTGACATACCGTTGAGAATATGACCGCAACATACATAGTTTTTGTTGTCCCATTTGTTCCGTATACGTACCTGCGCTAAAGTTTCTTCTTCGGTCTCTTCCGGTCTGGGTGTGCTGATGACGTAGACAACATTCAACATCGTCAACAAGAAGTGCATCTTCTTCTGCCACCGCCTAAAGCCCACGCCCTCGAATTTGTCGAGTTTGTGAAAATTCATAGCCAAATCCCTCACAGAAGATGTCATCCTCGAGTGGATAACGGTTTTAGATTGTTAGAAATCTTGAGGAAATCAACGGAAAAATGAGAATGAAATCGAACCGAGGGACCAGATATCTCTTCAAGGCGTGTAGACACTTTCCTAAAACCGTTATTCCGTCCGTTATGAGCAAGGACTACCGGAATACGATTCTGAGATACAATGAAGAGAAATACGTTCTAGAATTGCTCGTTCAAGAACGCACAGACAAGGAAACGTGAAGAAGAAGATGAACGAAAGCTTTCGGGAGAGTTTTTGCAAGAAACTTCCGAAAGTGCTCTCAAAATCTCTCAAAAATGGAATCAATCTCATACCCAACTTATTCTGACATCTTTAGTATATAAACACCAAAGATCATCACCAAAAGTTGCAAAATCTGCAGTTATTACGCGAAGAATCGCATCAGTTCGTATATAACTGTCATGTTCCGAGTTACACTTGACACAACATGAAGTACTTCTCACAGACTTTTGACTCAGATCGAGTTCCACTTGACACGGGCCGTGTCAAATTTCTGTGCAACACGAATTTTTCTCAGACAATCAACACGGTTCGAGTTAAATCTAACACGGACCGAGTTACATTTCTGTAAAGAAAATTTCGTTTTCGTCATGAAGACTGAGTTCTACTTCACCCGAGTTGAGGTATACCTCACTCACAAACCGAACAACTTTACTGCCAAACACATATATGTTTCACCGATCCATATTATATCATTTACGAATATTTAACTCCTCCACCATATCCGTAATACATATAACTATGAATCTCTTGAGAGATTAATATTAAACCCCATTCATTTACTCTAAAAATACCAACATAGGAGTCATCCGTTATAAAAAAAAAACTATCAAGATTACGGTATGGCATCACGTATGCTAATATACTATGATTATTAAAATAAACAAAAAAACATTTTCTGTACGTTTGGCTCTACCATTAACTAGATTGAACAGCAGCTTTCTCATGTATAAATATACAGTTTTTATATATGAATTTTTTTTATGTTTATGAACGTGAAGATATTGTATTACCATTACTCCTATTACTATTATTATTATTATTAGGAAAAATACATAACAGAGAAGAAAAAAAACGTCATAACGAGATAGGATCAGGTAAATGGGCCTGAATATTTGGGCAACCGATAAAGAAAATGGGCCTGAATTTGATGGCCCATCTGCAAAAGGGAGTTGTAGGGTATATATATATATATATATATATACCGGCAAACCCACATATCGTATATATGATGAAATTGATCAAAGAGAGAGAGAGACAGCAGCTACTATGAATCATTACATAACAACACGCTCTAGAGAGGTTAAATTATTCTAAAACAACAATCTATATATATGTGGTCGGAGAGAGAGAGAGAGTATTACGGCATAAAACTAAAGAGAGAACGAACCAACACAGCGGTGGTATACATTTAAGTATTGGATATATATGGATAATTAATTAATTAACAAACTAATTAAGGGCACTTGGGCCCACCTTCTTTGGTCTTCCAGTTGTTGTAGCAAGGGCACACCTGCTTGTTCCCGTACGTTCCAGGGGGAACACAGAGACACTTCCCGCAGCACTTCAGACAGAAGAACATGCATGGCTTCCTGTGCGACGTGGCCGAACACCGATAATTGCATCTCGGCTTGCATTCTGTTTTTTTTTTTAAAATTTATTTAAAAGAATCAATGTCATGGTGTTGCATTGCATGCACATACATGTATACATATACGAGACAGAGTATACGATTATATATATATACGTACGTTGAGGGTGGAGTAGACCGCCACCACGGCCACGACCACGAGAAGCCTGAGATTAGAATGGCAAACCAAACGTTAACATTGAGTACAGTTCTCAAAAGGTCGAGTGAGGGACAATGTGTGAAACCTGTATAACGTTGCAGACTGAGAGTAGAAAGAGAAGGGAGAAGAGGAAGAGAGCATTTCTATTAAAGTGGTAATTCCCCATTGTGTGATTGAACTTAGAGATGAATGGGAGAGGAGAAAGAGGATAATTTATAGAGAAAAAAATATTTAGTTTTTAGTAAGAGATGTATAAATAATTAAATTTTTTTTTCCTGTTTGGAGAAAGATGCAATGTTTATGGCGTGATTTATGGGGCAGTTAGGCCACAGTAATTACACACATTGCCTCCACTTGATTAGAAAATGTCAAATAAGCATATATAGCCAATAGCCATCACTTTGGATTTTGGCTCCGACTGTAAAAATAATGGAGCAAATTACATGTAATTTTCATCATCATTTGTTTTTTTAAATGTTATCGTAAAACAAGTGTTTTGCTAAAACAATTCACATTATAAAAAAAAAAAACATATGTATGCATTGTATATATGATGAGCTCGTAAAAAGAACCCTCCAATGCCAATGGGTTTCACATGTCAGATTTTAAAGAAATAATTAATGTTGGATTAAATCCACACCAATTAAAAAAAAATGTAATGCTTACTGGAAAAAAAAACACAGCGTATTACTTGTAACGAAATTATTAAAAACAAAAGTCATAAAGAAGGCGAAAAATGCGGCGAAATAGCGGAGAGAGAGTGGAGTTTTAACGGAGCATGTGAGGGTTGGGTCCGTTTTCTTTGTCTGCCCCTTTTTTCTCTCTTTTGTTCTTACTCTTATCATTCATAGCATGCATAATGATGACAATGGAAATGGAAATGCATTTTGTTTATTTAATACAAAATTACCTGGAGAGAGAGAGAGAGAGATCTAGGGAGAGACGCAAGTGGTGGAGTTGAGAAACTCAAGACGGGTTTGTGTAAGCTTTATCTTCTCTTCCGCTTCTGCTGCTTTCTCCCGCACCCCACGCACCACTTCTTCAGGAGCTTTCTCTACAAACTGCATTTTCCATCTCACATTCCCCATTTATTATTTTCATCATCATGATTGATGATGATGATGATGATGAATATTTCAAGAAAAGACAATTGTGCTTTTTGTTAAAAGAATTGGGGGGGGGGGGGGGGGGGGGGAATCATACCTTTGGAGAGTTGAGGCGAGATAGGAGTGCATCGTATTCAGTTTGCATCTTGGAGAGGCGCTTGGAAAGGCGTTGGATTTCGGCAGAAACGTCGACCATATCCGAAAGCGGAAGATACGCCTCTAGCCCTTCGCTCGCCACAAGGTGCACTGATATATTTGCATCACCTGCAAATAAACGCCGCTTGCTGTCATTATGTACGAGTTTTTTTTTGGGGGGTAAAGGGAAAGCAAATCGGAGTAAAGGGTTTTTACCAGGAGGAGAGTTGGTAAAGTGAACATTATTCAGATCAAGCCTTGAGAGAAGAGCTAAGACCTCCTTCTCTTTCTGCATCAACCACCAAAAAAAAACTCTGCTTAAGAAAAATAAATCCCGAATAAGAAGTCTACACACACACGCTAGCAGTAGTAGAGGAGCAAGTTACCGACCAGAATGTATTCAACAACGTCTGGATTTCCAACTATGGATGCAGATATACGCTTTGCCGGCTCCACTCCATACTCCGCTCGAGCATTTCTAATTGCTCTAGTCTGTGATACAAATGTAGCAGAGCCGGGTGTTAAAAAAAAAATCTATACCAGTTGGAAATGTTCATAACAAAAAGGCGGAATTTCATGTACTCACCAGAGCTTGTAAATTTTCAAATCTTCTGATCGATTCAACATCCCTTGGCAGTGAATTCTGTGGCCATGGGGATACAATTAGGGCTTCTTTCCTATATGGAAGTGCCTGCAATGCATCATCGGTCACAATTTTGTCAAAAAACTGAAAATATTTGAACGACCCGAGGGGCAATAAACGTAAAGATGTACAACCCAATGAAATAATAAACTTAACAGGACTACAGGAGCTTGGGAAACCAGAATCACAAAACATCCAAAAGATCTTACCTGCCATAGATCCTCTGTTACAAAAGGCATAAAAGGATGCAGCAACTTTAGTGTATTCTCGAAGACATATAACAGGACTGCCTGGGAAACCAGAGTAGCTGAATCATCATCTCCTGATCCATACAACCGAGACTTGCTGGCTTCGATATACCTTTGAGTAAGGGGAAAAAAATAGAAAGTCCAATAAGCATGTTTCGGTTGATTTTACCCAAAAAAAAACATGTTTCAGTCGGAAAAAATTAAGTGGTAGTACCAATCAGCAAAATCGCTCCAAAAGAAATCATATGTGTCCCTTCCAACATCTCCAAAGAAAAGCTTCTCGTAACTTGCTGTGACAGCATCGATAAGAATATGAAGTTTTGACACCTGCAAGTGATACAGAAGAATATACGGTGATGGTAAGATCGATCGATACTAGTTAATAACACTATTGTGATATGAACTGAAATTGCATAGTGTAAATGAAAAATAATGTTACCGCCCAACGCTCAGGCAATGGTAATGACACCAGAGCTTCTTCCTTGTCAAACTGAAAAGGAAAGAAATCATATAAGGTTGTAGAAAATAATTCAAAAACGCAAGAAAGTGAGAGACAAACTGTCTGAGTAAGCTAAACAACTTAGGTAGCCTGTCACTAGAAACTCAAAAAGATGACAAAGGTTCACTCCTACTGACCAATGGGAGAGAAAGAAAGAAAAGAAGGAACAAAAGATAACCTTTAAAGCCAGCAAATTCCCCCAAGCAGATGTGTTGCTAAGACTGGGAAGAGACTGCAGCACAAACTTTCCAGCATTCCATAGTTTGTTGGTGAATGCTTTATTTGCAGTCAACCTCTCAGTAGACAAGTTGAGATCCTAAAAGAAGGTTGTACAAAACAGTATAACAGTAAATAAATATAAATACGGCATGTAAATCGTGAGATGTGCAAGCAAAATCAATATATGGTCTTCACAGATCAGAGCGTTGGCCAATTTGTTTTCCTAAGAGGTACGAGAAAACAAACCTGACCAGCAGTTCCCAACGCAAGGGTAAATCTCAAAGCATCGGTTCCAAAATCCTTAACTGTGTCAAGTGGATCAATAACATTCCCAAGTGTTTTTGACATTTTCCTCCCCTGAAAGTTCCAAGTAATGAGGTGAAGCACAGAGAAATATACATGAAGACACATTAGAAGGATAACTATCACACATTTTTCTTTCTTAGCTAGTTTAAGTGAGGATGGAAGAGAGGGATCGCGAGGGGCAAGGGAGAATTGGGTTTCACATGATTTAACCAAGTCTTAGACATGCTTACATCGAAATATTAGCACATACGAGCTGAAAATCTTGCGAGGAGCAGACAATCTAATAACATAAAGAAGAAAGGGGCAGCAACTTCGATATAAAAAGGCCAAGGAATCAAGTTTTTCTTGAGAATCATGAGTATAGTTTGTTTTGGGGAAATTATGTTTCACTGAGAAGACAGATGCATAAATTAATTACCTGAGAGTCTCGAATAAGTCCATGAAGATAGATATGTGAAAATGGAACAGTCCCAGTAAATTCTATTCCCATCATAACCATTCTTGCAACCCAGAAAAACAATATGTCATGCCTGTCCAAACATAAAGGGCAAAAATCAATCAAAGAAAGCTGCAGAAAATTCAAAGAAGAAGAGCAGTAAGCACTAAAGCACACTGCCCAAAACACAATGAAATATTGAAAGACAGGCCATTCTATAACATCTTATAAATCGTCATAGAATCGAGGTTCATGTCCCTTCCAAAATTCACTTCATTTTCAATATCAGAACTTCAGAATGGAAACAGTTCCATAACACCAAAGGCCCTAACACTGGTATGAATGCTCGAAAATAGCCAGCTACCATATCTTCTGAATGAGAAATAAAAAAATGATAAAGATTTACCCCGTTTCCAACATATTTGTAGGATAAAAGTTCTTGAAATCCACTGCCGACACATCAGGCCAGCCAAGGGTGCTGAAAGGCCACAATGAGCTGTAGAAAAATGCATTTCAATAACTTTACAAGAAGCTTCCATGTACATTAAGGAAGATAAGTCTTGAGTTGCATATTTTCGGCAAACCTTTTTCCCAGATCTATTAAAGTGGTACTGAAAAAGGAGAACAAATAATAATGGAAGACCATACTACTCTTACCAAGAGCGACCATAAGAACAATTGTCGACCTTAATGAATGATACTAGCATAAACTAAACAAAATGAGAAGCAGACCTGGAAAACCAAGTGTCAAGCACATCTGGATCCTGATAAATTTCGACATCTTTTCCATACTTCTCCCAGGCTTTCTTAAGGGCTTCATCAGCATTTCTAGCAACTATATAGTCCTCCTGACAGTCCTTCCCAACAATATACCAAACTGGTATGCGGTGCCCCCACCACAATTGGCGGCTAATGCACCAGTCCTTAATATTGGACAGCCAATGGTTGTATATCTACCAGCGATCACAGGAATATATATGGAAAATCAGAAACACTCTGATAAGTGTTACGGAGTTACAAATTTGTGGTTAGTGTAGATTCATTGAACTTAGACTATAATTAGTTTGTGGATTAGGAGAGGCATGCAGAATTTTGAGAAAAGGTTAGGGTTTGGGTTGAGAGAGAAGACCTCTCATTACACAAAAGTTTCCAGGGTGTGTTTGTCTTTGTTGATCAATTCTCCATACCTTCTCAAATCTCTCCGGTATGATGGTTAGTTCTCCCTTTTCGACAGCAAGAAGGGCCTTCTCGGCCAAAGGCTCCATGTGAACAAACCACTGTTTGCTTATCAATGGCTCAACAACCTAATACCCAAGAAAACAATAAATGACTAATTATATCAGTCCAAAAGAATTTTATCATTTAGTTTATGGAGATTGGATATGAGAACAGTAGACACACTTCTCCGCCACGCTGAGATCTTGGAACTCGTAGAGTATAAGGCTCCTTCTTGACAGCTAAACCTGTTTCCTCAAGATCTGCCCAGAGTTTCTCCCTCGCCTCAAAGCGGTCAAGGCCGCTAACAGATGATTATTAAAGACCGAACACGAATGTTAAGGAACAATTTAAGGCCCTCCAATTTCAAAATGTTTACGACAAGACAGAAACATATTTCAAATTCTTACCAATACAACCCAGCAACATCATTTAGCGTGGCATCCTTGTTCATCACATTCAGTATGGGAAGTCCTAGCTTTCTTGCAAGAAGATAATCATTGTGATCATGTCCAGGGCTTATCTTCAGAACACCAGTCCCAAAATCTTTATCAACATACTGCCAAGGCACATAGAAAATATTAATGAGCGTAATAGCAATGACACGAACATTGTTTGGTCCTCCTGCAATCAACATTTACGAGAGAATATAATTGGAGTTGCTTCTGGGATATCAGAAATTCAGAACTAATGCTGAAACATAAAACCCTAAACCCTGATCCTACAAGATTTTAGATTTATTTGAATAATCATCATACAGAAGCATCAGGATGAAAATAGAAGGTAAAGATAATAGGTAATACATGTCATTTTACCTTGTCAGAAATAATTGGGACATGCCGACCATATGTCATAGGTACGATTGCCATCTGACCAATATACTTGGAATAGCGATCATCCTGCAAAAGTGTCAAAATATGATTTATATTGCCAAACTAAAGAGATGCTCAAAAGATATAGGACCTGATATCGAAACAGCTCAGAGAAACAATATCTAGCTTCATGGGGTTCTGATAACCATATTATACATGCCATCACAACCATAAGTTTAGTAGATTTGCAAGATGAACAGTACACTCATAAAACTCACAAAAAGCTAAGTAATTCACCTCAGGACATTCATGGTTAAGTCGACAAACTTACAAGTTACAATGGAGGAGACAATGAGGGTTTTCTAGAAATTTCCCATTTCTGATCTTGGGGTATATGTAATAGAACACCTGGATAAATGTGTTATGGTTCGCAAAACTACAATGTACAAGCACTTGTCAAGTATATCAAACCATCAAACCTAATACTTATTACACCACATCTTCAAGACTACTGCACCTGCAGTGGACTGATATTCCATGTCCAAAATTTTCAAGTAAAAATAAAATATGGTACCTCTGCATCAAGTTTTCCTCCCTAATAGGAAAGTTTCTTCTAAATTCATCAAGGGATTTGCCCCAGCCAAGCAGAAGCTGTGCACTTCATTAGAAATGAAAACAAAACTAGCAACATACCTGAGGATGCACTGCAACTGCCACATCGCCGAACAAAGTCTCTGGGCGTGTTGTTGCTATGGTAAGAAAATCACTCCTATACAGAGAGGAAATATCAAATCAACCGTTTGTGTAAAATACAGAGAGAACATTTATCAATAAAGAATTTGTCATGACACTAAAACAACAGGAAGAAAAGAATCACATACAACTTAACGGGTAGCTAGCTATATTAGGAAATACTGATAAGAGACAATAGGATTCCGATAAATAAAAGAAAAGAAAGAGAGACACACTCAACCAGACTGCAGCAACATATGCCACTGGGAAAATTTGTAAAATACAAACTGAGAGTTTGACAATACCTTGAACCTCCAGCGATACGATATTTAATATGGTACAAAAACCCAGGTTCCTCAGAATATTCTACTTCCTGAGCACAGCAGGACATAGTATCATAAAGCAAAGGTCACTTACTTTCTCAAAAGAAAAAGCCAGGAAAAAAAAAAAGCAAGAGCACTGTGGAATCAGAAATATCACGCACCAAGTCTGAAACTGCGGTCTGTAAATTAGGAGACCAGTTGACCATGTAGGATCCTGGAAGAACATTATACCATAACCAACCACACCTAGTATCAGTACAACGAATTTGCTCGCCACAGCTACAATAGCAGGAACCAATACAGTTACTAGCACATGGTGAAAAGAAGAAACAGTGAGTTTACCTTGATATATCAAGCCTTTCTCATGAAGCCTAACAAAAGCCTCAATCACAGCTCCTAAAAAATTAAATCAAGGGAACAATGACTATCATTAACCCGATATCAGTACACAGAAGAAACCTCAGATGCATAAAAAATGAGTTCCTGAAGTTAAAATGGAGGACACAGTTACAAGTTATAGACTACATGGAAACTACATAGTTATATATTCAGCCTAATGTATTATGGTTCTAGAATAGCCCATGAAATGGTTTGAAGTGTGATTTAAGAAAGCATCACCACCTAGCATAATACTCAAGTCTCAAACCAAAGAAAGCTGCCTTACGGCTCAAATTCTCATCAAGAGTGAATCGTTCTCTACTCCAATCACAAGAAGCGCCGAGTCTCTTGATCTGATTTGTGATAGTTCCGCCATACCTGCAACGACAGTACACATATTATAACTCCAGCCTTGCCCTCAAAAAATCCAATTACCAGTGCAGTAGTCTTGTCCTTTAGAGAAAGTAATGACATTCCAAATGGTACAGGAACCCATAATTTCCCATACAAATAAGGTGCACGAGAAGTTTTTTACTAGAACTCAGCCTATTTGTCAAGGCAAATGTTTACAACTTATTCCACATGTGATGCATCACAAGGTATATGAAAACACAAATAATCTTGTTTCTAAGATATTTGAAACAAACCATCACAAGAATTATGCACATAGAGGTAGAACAAGGAAATATACTTCTCCTTCCACTCCCACACTCTTTTTGTAAACTCATCTCTACCCAGCTCTACCCTCTTAATGCCTTCTGATGCCAGCATCTTTTCCACGACCAACTGGGGGAAAAAATATATTAGTTTCAGCACAAATATTTTAGAACATACACCAAAGTTTATTGAACAAAATGCATTTTTCTGCACAATCCTATCATGTATGACACCACAAGACAAACTGCAGTTTAGTGAGGAAAATTCGGAAGAGGTAAGGATGGAACTTTGGACAGGGCAATGGACCTGAGTAGCAATACCAGCATGATCAGTTCCAGGAAGCCAAAGTGTTGGTCTCCCTTTCATCCTATTGTATCTAACCATGATATCCTGCAAAAGAAACTGTATAATGAGCTAGAAGAACTATTTCCTGAAAAAGGCTATTCAAGAAATAATGTTAAACAGCTGACACTGACTGACTAGACTAAAGTGGAAAAGTTTACCACTCTAGCACATACATCAACCATATAACTCAAAAGAGTAAGAACAACTATTGCTCTCCAACACATATTTATAGAAGTCGAGAGCCCGAAGAAAGAGAAGTCAGAATACAAGTGTACAAGTCAATTGAGATGTACATGGCGTCTAAAACTAACTATACTTCAGAACCCTTCAGAATTTTCCAGTACCTAAACCACTTGCAAAATACAAATTGTTTTTCAAGCAACGTAATATCACAGAAAAGGGAAAAGTATGGGACAAACTAAGAAGCACAGATGGAAAATGAAACATAAATTCAATACCCAAATGACTGTCAATTATCTCAATATCGATTCCACAACCTCAAGAGTCACAAACATTGCATGCCCCATGTGCAGCGAACCAGTAACATTAGGAGGTGGCATTGGTATCACAAAAGGGTTGCCTCCTTGGTTGAAACTTGGTTTGAAGTACCCTTGTGACTCCCACCTGAAATTTATGAACATTTGTATCACAGAACATACAACCGTCCCTGGGATGATTGAAATGCCGAATCAATGTCTATATGACTGTCTTGCAGTTTACAAGAACAAAGACTTGTCAGTCCGTTCCTCCATTTCAAAACCTACTCTATGACACAGCACCAGGCAACACGAGCACTGAGCAAAATGTATTAGACTGAAAGCTCACTAAAAACTGCAGCACAAGTTACATATTTGACTAGCATTTAGAAAATGCTTTATTAAAAATGCAACATTGGGTTGAATACACTTTTATCATTTGCAAGGACAAATCCTAAGTCATAATAAGTGAAACAACAAAAAAAAATTACCATTTGTATATTTTCTCCTCCGAGGAAAAATCAAACGTCTTAGCCGTCTCAGGAGAAGTAAAGACATCATTTCCTGATGCAACGACTGACAAGAAAAAGGGAACTCAAGATATCAGCTGTAACCTCTGTCTAGAGCTCAAGAACTTGGGTTACAGAATCATAGCCAATAACTGTACATTGTGTCAAAGACAGATATCCAGATTCATCATCGCAGTTGTCCATTCTTAAGAAATTATTCTTTCAACCGACAAAAAGAGAGGCAGAATACTATGTCGAAAGACAAGAAACAGAAATTCCAAAAGCAAGTTTGATTTATGAATCATCCTGGAAAATACCGACATAGCCATTACCAAATCCCAGAAAAATCTGTAAAACCCCGTGGGGTGTAATAGGCACAATCGTTAGAATCCCAAAATCTCTCTTCCCACAAGAAAACGGTTTGCATTTATTCGTCTCCTCTAGAAATTAATCATCGCAGAAAGTTCCACTTTCACGAGACCAACCGGGGATACAATGGCGGAGATACATACCGGAAAAAGAACATCTACGCTGCGCAGAAGTATAATTCAAGCGAGATAGACCAAGCCGGAGGCGGCGGCGACGGTGGGAGAAAAAGAGAGGGTTGAGCCGGTGGGAAGAGGAGGGAGAGAGAAGAGTGATAGGCGGAGAGAGAGAAGTTTGGAGAATCATGGCGAACTCGGGAAAACGCGGAAAGATTCCCGAGAAAATCCGAGAATTCTCGGAGGTAGAAGATTCAAGATAAGCTTGAGGTGCTTGTAGTGTCTCCCAACGGACGGAAAAGAGGTATTTATAATCTGTGCGTCGCGACCACAACAAAGCGAGAAAATGAAAGGATGACGCAAGGGCATTAACGTAATTCCATGCTCTCCTGGTCCGATTACCGCGTCAGTGATAAGTCAAAGAAATTAGCTTTTTATTGAAAAATAAAAAAACTTATATAACAATTTCTGAAGCACCATTTGAGTTTTTTCTTCAGGTAATTTATAATAAACTCTAATACATGAACTCCTGATTCCACAATTGCAAACATCTCTAAGGTTGACGATGGGTTATAAGAAAATTCATGAAGAAGCTTATAATTGTTACTTTTAAGTTTAAGTACGGTAATTAATTAGTAAACGAAATGGAGTGCCAATACAATTGATTTCCGAGCAATATGGTTTCTATATAAAATAAATCATTGTTAACGATTATTCAGGTAAAATTTCGAGATCAAAGAGTAGTTTTCATAGGAGATTATGATACACAGAGACACATTTAAGAAGATCTAACCCATCACCTTTGGTAGCCAACCAGCAACAATATCCTCTGTCTGTGCCCGAGTCTTCACAAACGATTCTCTTGAGAAAATATTCTGCATATATGTGTCATATTAACCCATAAAGACAAAGATATATATATATATATATATACAGAGAGAGAGAGAGAACCAGTTTGGTTTGGGTTGTGACATACCTCCATGTAGGACAGAAGGTAAGGAAGTGAATCTGGAACAGACCAGTTCTTGTAGTGACCCAAAGCTATCTTCATGTGATACAGCTTCGGCCCCAATGACAAATCTGCCGCCGAAATCTTCTCTCCGTTTATACAAGGACCCTTTAAGACAAGGAAACCAAAAAAAAAAAAACAGATTAACACTCTCAACCGCAAAACCTATTCGAACTGATATGTCATAAAGCAACAAGAACAGGCAATGGATGGACTGACAGTAATAAGAACTCCCATTGATTTCTAGTTCAAGGTGCAGATATCAGAATAAACTCAGACAGTTGTTTCAGCTTCTTCTTTGGAAAAAATCACTAATCTTCTTAACGAGGGACTCCTGATTATAAACGAAATAATATGATAACTGGATCATATGTATATGTAACCCAAGACCAAAACAGGCAGGATACTGATTCTAGAACATCAGAACTTCTCTGAGCATCTCTGCCTCGGTCACCAGATTCACCAGCAAGAGTCTGATGAAACGGGCAGAAAAGTTCTTACATGCAGAAACAGCTTTGCAATTACCACACGATTAAAATATAGTTGTGAAGAGATCAACACAAAGTCCTTACATTTTCTTTGATATAATCGTTAAATGAACTAAGCTCATTCAATAGTGCTTGTTCAGTTCCATCTCCTGGATCCTTACTCTTGAGGAAACCGATAAATGTGGAGAAAATCTTTGACCCACTGCAGAAAAAGAATCAAATGTGCACATTTGAATCTCCTTCAGAAATCCAAACAAACCTGAATGCCCTAGAAACTTCCACATGAAAGGGCTCTGGAACAGAAGAGCCGACCATAATAATGATGATGATGGAGAGAAGCAAGAGACATTTTACATCCATCCAGGGCTCTTGTTTGCTTCAAATGGAGAGGTGATTAGAAATTATGAACACAATATCGCAAAATAGAAAAGAAGAAAAACATACATTGAAGCCTTCTCCAGTGGGGTTGCCAGAGGAGGACTAGGGTATTTCTCTTCCAAAGACTGTGTTATGACATCTGAATCCGGAAACCATTTCTCATCCAACTTCACAACTGGAACTTTTCCTTCAGGACTAATCTTCAAGAACCTATGGATATAAGTTAAGAGTGCATGTGAATAAATCACTGAGTGTTAAAATAAGGAAATTCCAAAGAAAACACGGGAAACAAAAGGCACAATTTGAGCAAGCTTCAAACATCAAAAGGGCCGAGCATTCACCATTCCGGCTTGTTACCCAAATCCACCAATTTCATGTCATAAGGCAGATGTTTCTCCTCCATAGTCAGCAATACCCTTTGGCAAAAAGGGCCTGTAAACAAAAATCAATCCACAATTAACGCATGAACACCCTCGAGATCAATGAAACGTTCTTGGCAATATCGGAACGGACCAGAAAAGCACCTAAATTCACATACACTTGTCCAAGATGTTCAAGTATAGTGTATCCGTAGATAAAGGAACTTAATCAAAGTTTCTAAGACAGCAATCAATTGCAAATATTGAACATACATCAATGAACCCCTTGTTTCGGAGGCCAATTTTCGCATCCTAGGAAAATCAAGCGGAAGGACGAAAATGCAGCTTCTCATACACATAACGTTTGATTGATTTCACAGTTTCCAACACATTCTCAGCAACCAAACAGAATTAACGACAGAAAACCCTGAGAATTTAAAAAAAGGGAAGCCGCGGAGAGATGGAGAGAGCACTGACAGTCTCCAAGCTTGTTTGGGGTGGTGACGGAAGCTTTGACGCAGACCTCGAGAGGATTCGTCGCCATCGCCACAGCGCAGAACCCGACTCTACTACCCGGCCTCGTCCATCGGCACCGTCGACGAACGAAGCCGGAAAATCTGACGCGAGTGACCGACTCCGAGATAACAGAGGCGGTGCTCGGTGAAAACCTCAGGGCTGCCATATTTTTTTCTTTACGGTTTTTTTTTTTTTTTT